CCAGGCTGGGGATTCGAACCCGCCATCTTAGGTGTACGTGGCTGGCGCCTTAGCCGCTTGAGCCACAGGCGCCAAGCCCATGGTGGAGTTTTATATGGTGTGGGAGAACAGCCCTGCACCCTTTTGTCTTCCATGGCACCAAACAGAAACTCCCCTTTGGAAATAGAGACAGAAATTAGGGATGGGTCCCATCTCTCCTTTAAAGCATAGCCAGGACGCTCCACAGAGTGAGGGAGGTGTGGTGAGGCAGGAGTAGTGACTCTGTGGTTTGGACTATTTCAGGATGGGAGCTGGGAGGTGAGCCTTCAGAGGCAAACTGCAAGGAGAGCAATTCAGAAGAGTCAGAGCCATCATGCATGGCCAGTGAAATCCTCATGGGGGAACATGAGGGCAGCTTCGAGAGGCAGGCAGGACCCTCAGGGGAGACCTGCACAACATCTATTGCCCAAGAGATGGATATTAGGAAAGCTTCAGGGCATTACAAGGATGCCCTCACAGACCAGTTTGGTAGTGAATCTGGTGCCTTGGGGAACAGTTCCAATGCCTGGCCAAGCTTCAGCTCCCAAGAGCAGACTCCTCAAGGAGAAAAGTTTGATCTGCTGGATGGTTATAGGACAGAGCCTCCACCCACAGACTGGGGCAGGATGTCCTCCAAGTGTGGCAAATGTAGGAAAACATTCCAGAGTGCCTTGACCCTCGAGGCACACCAGAAGAGCCACTCTGGGAAGACGCCTTATGCCTGCAGTGAGTGTGGGAAGGCCTTCAGCCGGAGCACTCACCTTGCTCAGCACTCGGTGGTGCACACAGGGGCAAAGCCCTATGAGTGTAAGGACTGTGGGAAGGCCTTCAGCCGGGTCACCCATCTGATGCAGCACCAGAGGATTCATACTGGAGAGAAACCCTACAAATGTGGGGAATGTGGCAAAACCTTCAGCCGCAGCACCCACCTTACCCAGCACCAGCGGGTGCACACAGGGGAGCGGCCCTATGAGTGTGATGAGTGCGGGAAGGCCTTCAGCCAAAGCACTCACTTGACTCAGCACCAGCGCATCCACACTGGGGAGAAACCCTACAAGTGTGATGCATGTGAGAGATCCTTCAGTGACTGCTCAGCTCTGATCCGACACCTGAGAATCCATTCTGGAGAGAAGCCGTATCAGTGTAAGGTTTGCCCAAAGGCCTTTGCGCAGAGCTCCTCCCTCATTGAACACCAGAGGATCCACACTGGAGAGAAGCCATTTAAGTGCAGCAAATGTGGGAAGGCCTTCAGCCGCAGCTCAGCCCTTATGGTTCACCTGAGGATCCACATCACGGTACTGCAGTGACTGGAAATAGCCCTTGGGGCATAGCATAGTCTCCTCCCAGAGGCTTACTGCCTAAGAGAAACCTTGAGTTCTGAAAGAGCCAAGAAGAGGGTGGGTGATTGATGAGTCGCAACAATGGCCAGTGCTTGAGGGCACACTGGGGAGCAACTCTGCCTTGAGCACCCAGACGAGGCCTAGATGAACACAAAGGGACTCAGGCCAGCTGGAGAAGCTTCCAGAAGGATCCTGCTGTCCTCTGTTTTCCATATAAGCCTGTCAAGAGAAAGGACAGCTGAGTTAAGGATTTGGATTGGTTCTCAGCCAGGGCAAATGAAGGCAGGTATCTTTCAGAACTCAATGGTCCCCAGATACTCTGGGCAGGCAGACTCCAGCTCCTTGTTCTCACTTGGCTGCTCTTCCTGCTCATTCCTATGCTGCTTAACCCAGAAAGAACACCTGCCTGTTCTGTGTCTTGTCACCTACTGTTTTCACACCACTCTATCTTGTTCCTGACTGCAAGGTTTCCTCTTCCATGAATCCCATTCCAGACCCTCTGTCTCTCTCATGTTTTCCCTTTCTTACAGTCAGTGGTGCTGCTGGACACTTAGCCAACATCTATTTCTCCTTCCCCCTCTCCTTCCACATCCTACCAGTCACCAGCCCTTTTCGCTTAACCTAAAGCTCATCTCTAGTTCATCTTCTCCTTTCCCTCTATTGTTACCTTATATGAACCCTTCTTCTTGCCTGGAATATGGCAGGGTTCTTCTTCCTGACCCCCTCCTACCTTCATTCTCCTAGAGGCTCTTTTTGTTATCCAGATCTGATGGTGTCACTTTGATGGTGGAAAGCTCTCCAATGCATCACCTGGGTCGCCTTCTATAACAAAGCTTCCTAAATGTCTATAAGTATGCCAAGATTTAGGTTGCTTTGCACCCCAAGCAACCTCTTCAATTATCCTCACAGTATGTGCCTATGAATATTGTCCCTTTTCTGTGTGTGCAGTGATGTGAAAATAGTTTTAAGGTACTGCCCTATAGGATAAACCAAACTCCTTTACCTGTTATCATGATTGTCCATGGCCTGGCCTCATGTAGCCTCACTATCCCACCTTCCATACAACAGCCTTGCAGAGCCACTGTGGTTTCTAAAGAAGCCATACCTTTTCCCATCTATGTGCCTTTGTATCTGTGCCTGGAACCTTCCTTTTCTCTTTCCAATAAGATGTTTTGAATGTGCCTCCCTGATACCATTATCATGAAGGTGGTTTTCCCAGGGTGAGGCTCATTCATTGCACTCTGGATGTGCTGACTCCTATGATTTCCCCAAATGTGGGAAACTCAACTGCATAATTTGTGGTAGAAGGGGACAGTGTTCGCGCTTTCCCCAGTAAAAAAAAAAAAAAAATAATAATAATAAATAAATAAATAAATAAATGTGCCTCCCTAAAGGAGTCTCCTCAACTTCCTGGAGCAGACTTCATCTTGCCCTCTTTTCTTCCAGAGCATCTCATAGTTACCTCTCTTACATCTTCTACCATCTTGTTTTACTTATTTACTCCTTGCAGACCTCGTCTGTATTTTCCAAGGATACTATGAGCTCCTGAGAGCAGGGACCTTATCTTACTCTTAGTGTCTACCATATAGAAGACTCAATAGGGCCTGACTGATGTCTCTTGAATGAATGAGACTGGTGTCTTCCCTGAGGCAGTCATCATACTCTGCCCCACATAA